GCTACATATATACACCCCACTAATAATTAGTATCATACGAAAATTTGAATAATAATGACGTGTCATCTTTCTTAAATATCATGAACATATATACTTTGATATATTGAGATTGATCTAATTTATATTTAAAAAGGTTATCGCGAATGAGCCACATGTAAACAAACTTTTAAACGTGTGTCAAAATTTCATTGGCTCCGTCTAGTCAGGATTAACGTTCCGAGCCTGAAAAAAAAAGGAGTAGAGGAACTTTAGGGATGAGAAGGAGTTATGGTTTCCAGGAAGAGGAAAATGGAGAATTTGGTATGTTTGTTTCCTAGAAGACATACATTTGCTTATGTCACCCTCATCTTTTCCTTCTTTGACCTCACCTCCTATAAGATAATTTAGTCATGTTAGCTTTGCCAATTGCCCAATAAACAAGGTTACTATTGTAATTTACTCTTAGTACTATTCTGATCTGATCTTCTTCTTATACTCCCTCTATCCCTAATTACTTGTCCACTTTTCAATTTACATACCTATTAAAAAAACGATGATTGACTTAGTGAGTTTATCATTTTATACCTATTAATTATGAAGTGAATGAATTAAAAATTTAAAATTTTCAAGAAGTTCTATTTTTTTCAAAGTAATTATTTGAAGGTATAATAGGTAAACTTTTTTCTTGATTTATCAAAATGGACAAGCAATTAGGAACAACTAAAAAAGAAAAAGTAAACAAGTAATTAGGAACAGAAGGAGTATTACTTGTTTATATTTATTAAAAATATTTGCCTTCATTTATTTTTTTCAATTTACAAATCAAAATAAAATTAATCAAATTTCTCATTTTATACTTAAAATTATTCTTTTTGAAACCGTAAATATCGTCTAGTTCTAAGATTTTTTTTTTCTTTTCATGTGCACAGTTAATCAAAAGAGTGGATTATTTGTCTAGATAAAGGCTCTAAAAGGAATGCAATGGTAAATTAGTAAAAAAATATTTTTTTAATTTATAATTTCTTAAGGGATAAAAAACAAAATGGAGAAGTAATATGGAATGGAGACTTTTTTATTATTATTATTTGTGCCCCAGAGGTTCAAACCCTCATCAATGAGGATAGCTAAACCTAAGCAAGTTCAATTTTATTTCTACCGCTTGACCAAAAAATTATTTTATTACATATTTGAGATTTTAACACCATGTAGTCCGCTCAGTTCACTGTTCTCTTTTTTGAGTTTATATACATAGATTATAAATGGTTATATACATAAATTATACATTTAACAAGCTATTTTAGTTTAAGCAATTGAATGAACGGTTATTTAGGTTAATTTTATATTTTTGATAGATTTATCAATATAAATATAGAATCTATGCAAAAAATTATCGAATTTCCAAAAAACCCGAACCTCACACCATAGATCCTCCCTTGAACTCAAGAATCAAGATCATATAAGCTTAACTATATTCCTTCTATTCTATATTAAGTGAATTGTTGAGATTTTTTTCATAGTTTAAATAAGTGAATAATTCAAAGTTTAAAAAAATTATTGGGACCTTTTTCATAATATTTACCCTTCATTTAATAAGGTTCTTAACTGCTTTATATTTTCTAAAAGACTAATTTAGAAATAATCAAAAAGATAATAGTGAAAAAGAGCATTTAATTTATTTACTTCAATATTTTTTGTAAGGAGTATGTCATATCCTAATAATTTACTACTAAATATGGACTTAGAGGGAGTTTATTAATAGTCCCATTTTAAGAAACAATACACTTGAATAATGTTTTAATAAAAACTTTAAGAAACAAAAAAGACTTGTATAACTCATACGGTACACGCTTGTTGTGTTAATTATTTGTAACTGACTTCACCAGATGCCAAAAGAGGTTTTCACACACCAGCTTGTCATTTAGCTAATCTTCACATTGACGATTACATCTATGTTCAAACACAATTAAGGATATCTTTAGACCATTTTTTAAGGTAAAAAAAACTTTAAGGAGGGGGGTGGGGGGTAGATATCTCATGTAAGGGCACACACGAATGTTTCGATACTGACTTCAAACAAAGAATGTCCTGTAAAGTAATCAGAAATTCAGAATCTTTTCTGAGGATTAATTTAAAATCTTTTTTTCCTTATTCATTTTCTTCCTTTTTCTAGAGTCACTATTTTCATCCAATTATGAGTGCAAAGTTGAACAAAATTCAAAATTTTCAGCTTCATAATCAAAATTCATAAGACTTAAAAATCCTATAGTTGTAAAAGCGTGGACACAAGTAGACAAAAGGTGACAACAGTGACTAGCTAGCTAGCTCCCTTATATTTATTACTCCCTTTTTTAGTTTTTTTCTCTATACTTAAACATAGACGACTATAATTCCTCCTTTAATTCTCTCTTCAACATCTAAGCTTAGCTATCTTCCCAACCAAAATGATGAAAGGGCTAGAATTCTCCGAAAATTCTCCTTCTTTATCCATCGAGCTAGGAAATAGCAATAGTGATCAATCATCAGGGTTAGCTATAAGACCATATGTTAGATCCAGAATGCCAAGACTTCGATGGACACATGATCTTCATCGCAGCTTTGTGCATGCTGTTGAGCGTCTTGGTGGAGTTGATCGTAAGCCTAACTCTCTCTTTTTTATATATATGTAAAGATTTTACATTCTTCTATTAAGAAATAGAAGTGGACCTATATATCATGATGACTTAATAATTTGGTAGCTATTATTTATATACAAATAATTAGGAGCAACACCAAAGATGGTGCTACAAATTATGGATGTTAAGGGCCTTACCATTTCTCACATTAAGAGTCACCTTCAGGTAATAAAAGTTCTATGAAAATTTTAAATTCTCTTTTTTTTTTTTTTTCCCCCACCGTTTCTGTTGCTTTAAGAAAATGTATTTTGATGATATGAACAGATGTACAGAAGCATGAAACATGAACAGATGCAAGGTATCCCTATTTACATAATTTTTTCTATATGTACTAGTTATATATATATATATATATATATATAATTAAAGGAGCGAGTTTAGGTGCATAATTTAAATTCACAATTTTTTTTTCAGCCGCTTGAAACTTGATTTTATTATCTAAGAAGATGATAAAGTAGAAAGTAAATGAGTAGTGAGCGGTGATGCAATCAAGACTTAGAACTTTAGGTTTACTAAAATTGAAAAAGGACTTAGAACTACTTGTACTAGGGCTAGATCTATTGCTAGGGAGACCAAAATTGTGAATTCACCTTTTTTTAATTTTGTCACACATAAGTATGTAACGCCATTGAGTTAATTAATTACGTCTACCACCAACTCATTTGACCTTTTTTTGGTTATTAACTGAAGCAGAAGCTGCAAATGGGAGAAAGAGGAACAGAATTGATGGTTCAGATCAAATGAATTTTCCACAGGGAAACTTTCTTCATAGTTACTATCATTTCAATGGCAAAACCGTGATTGATGGCCATCTTAATTCGACTGTAACAACTAACTATTTGGACAAAATTGCTTCCAGCCCTACTGTTTTTCCTCCTCCATGGTTCGTCTCATTTTTCTTCTCTTCCTTTATCTCCATTTTCCTTTTTTAAAAATATTGTAACTTTTGAGTGTGAACGCTTTTTACACAATCAATGTAATAACCTGAAAAATAAGACAGATAACTCCGGAGCTAGTATTGAATTTCAATGATGATATATGAAATTACATGTTTACCCCTCCCAGGAAACCTATGCCAGAGAAGATGATGGGATTGGAAGGACGATGCTACATGTTTAGGGATTTCTTCAATGGAAGCATTACTATTCGAGTAATAAACGAAATCCTTAATTCGCTTTTTATTAATTAACTTTCTTTAGCTTGACATAGTAAATTGGAAACAATTACGATATACTTATATAATAGAGAATTACGACTAACTAGAATTTTATTTTTGTTTGGCAGGATGGAGATGATGGGAATAAAATAGTACGAACATATGGTACTAGCAATTTGTCAAATAAGAGTGCAACTTCAATGATTGAAGAGGAAGACTCCCATAGCACTATGTCCTTAGAGCTATCTCTCAGTTCAGATATCTCTCTTGACCTCACCCTTGGTTAAAATCCTTTGGTTTCTTCTATTTCCTCAAGGAAAAAAAAAACTCTTTTAGTTAATCCTTATTAAGTATATGCTAATACAAGGAAGTAACCTTCTTGTTTCTGTTTAAACTAACCTAGCTAGCTAGGTTAATTAGAACTTTGTAACTTAAAATCAGTTTTATAATCCACCTAAGACTGGCCAAGGTGTAGTGATAGTTCATAATGTGTAAGGGTTTAGTTTCAACTTTATAGAATATTGTTGAAATGTGTGTTAATCGTCTTATCTAAAAGTTTAAAAAGGTTAGTCACTGAGAGTAAGCTAATTTTATGATTTTAATTATATATTTACGACACCTGATCTCCTTCACGTGTGGGCTTGAATATTAATGTTTTTATTCACCAGCCAAGCATGTGAAAATCCTTTTTGATAATTGATATATAGTAATGGTGAGACTTAGACTTAATTAGGGCCTACGGCCATTATGATATATACCATGTTAATTAAAGTGTGTGACTATTTCATCTAGAAATTTAAGTTACTAAATAGAGTATGAAACAGTATGAAGTTGTTAAAGTTAAAAATGATAAGACCTTGTTATAAATTAATTATATTGAACCATATAATTAAGTTGTGTAATTTGATTTGTTTGATGTGTGTTAAGACTTAGGTTGATCATGTAGTCGAGAAGGTGTTAATTAAAGTATGTCTATGGAAAGAGATGTAGTTGGCTTCTTTTTTTTTCCCCCCTCTCTAATACATGATTATGTTACACACAATATGTATGAGCTAGTGATATTTCTACCTTTCAAATTCTTCATTATTGTACCAATTTTTTAAACACCTATATAGCTTGAGCTTGCAAATCCAAAAAGTGTCACACTCAAAACATCATCCAATATCAACAACTCTTTTCTTCTACTAGTCAAAATGGCAACCACGACACTCTTTGTTATTCTTATTATCACCAGTGTTCTTGCTTACCCTATAAACGCGAGGAGCCTAATTGCAATGAAGGCAAAAACAAAAGCATCAGCTGATGAACAGAATGAATATTTCCAGCACCCTTTTTTGCCTTTTTTTGGTGGTTTTGGTGGTGCTAGAGGTGCAATTAGGCCTCCATTTGGTTTAGGAGCCGGCATTGGTGGATTTGGTGGTAGTATTGGAGGTGCTTTTGGAAGTGGTTTTGGTCCTTTCGCCGGAAATGGTGGAACAAGTAGTGCTGGAGCTGGAAGTGGAAGTGGAAGTGGAAGTGGATTTGGTTCTGGTATTAATGAAGGCTTTGGAGATAGTGGTGGCAATAATCCTAATGATAAAATTGAAGGTGAACATGATGCAGGTGACCTAGGTGAGGGAGGTGATGCAACAATTAAAAATGATATGCACCACCATTGAACTTAAACTCACAGATTTTATTATTATTAATAAAAAATCGATAAACTACACCATCTAGTAGTATAAATCCGTTCAAAGAAAGCATATTATATATGTTTAGTTTCTATGAAATAGAACAAATAATAGTAGTGACTTCAAATTGCACCTAGGAGAACTATTTATGCTCTCTTTTTTCTCAATATTTTATGTTATTCGAATGCTATAGCTATAGCAAGAAATTTCATAAGTGAGATATTCTTGATTGTTCGATTAATGAAATTATGTGTTTTAATTTCCTGTTTGTTTGTTGTTGTTTTTTCCTCGTCCGTTTTGAATGGGATTGAGGTAAATAATTTTTTTTTCTAGTTGTAAGATATATATGAACATCTTACACAAGTGTCTCAAATCTCAATAGAAACTTGAGGAAATAGAAAGGAACCATTTCCAAAGGAGCACAACGAAAACATTGACCCTCTAAAGTCTAAATTCCAACATCAAAACCAACTTTAATTTGGTAGATTCATGTTCCAAATGAGCTAACAAATGGGCCTTGCGTTCCCAAATGGGCTGATAACACATTTGAAAATGAGCCACAACACCAATGGATGTAGTGTAGTGAATGAAATTGCTCTTTTCTTAATTAAATACAGGTCTCGAGTTTGAGCTAAAGTATAATTTTTTTTTTGATAGAAAGCGCTTTCTCCAAATGAAGACAATGAAGGTACCAAAAAAACAAAAAGAGACACAATCCCCCCACATGTACTATCGTGGAAATGAGTCATTTTAGATCCTCGATTTTTATAATTTGAATAGAAAAATATGACTTCACAAACATTTTTCTGTATATTTTTAGACTTTTTATCTTAAAAATATTTTTTTTCTTGACAAATAACATAAAATTAAAATTAAATTTGTAAAAGGCTACAAAATCAATTAACCGATTTTGATGAAAGAATTTCTCTCGTGAATCTCCCACATTTCCAAAAATTCAAGGAAAAATAGTGCCTGACTAGTATAATCTCAAGAATTTATTCGCACGTAATTTAGCCGATTTATACAAGTCTGGAACCATTTTTACAAGAATGGTAGTCAAGAAATAAAAAAAATAAAGAGGGTTCTAGTAATTCGAAAAAGAAGTTAAAAACAATAACATTGCTAGAGATTTGACTTTATCAATTCTAATGTAAATATATATTGTCTAATTAAGATACAAAAATTATTAAGCTATAATCACTATTACTTAATTCTTCTTTTAGATTGTACATATGGATAACTATTCCTATAATCTATACATAAGCAGGTCTTATCACGGAGATATTCTTTGATTAAAGTACTAATTCACTACTAATCCACAACAAATTATCAATTTTTTCCCCAAGAAACAATGATTAAGAAAAACAAAATGGTCCATTTGTTTATTATTTGAACGCCGTTCTACAGCCAAACATGTTTGGGCGTATTACGTACCCTTTTGTTATCAATTTAGTTAGCTTCTATACAGTAACAAAAATGATGTAAAAGAAATTCTTTAATACCATCAAAAGTTAACTATATATAATCGTAAAAGTTAACTATATATAATCGTTCATAATAAATGATAGTATTAGTTACAAAAAAAAATAACTCAGATCATCTGCTATAATATGTTATACTATACCAATTGTGGTTAAAGAAATTTAAACTACACTATCGACATCTAAAGATGAAATTCTTTGTTTTTTCATTCGGGTACATATATATGCCATTTATTATAAATTTCCTAATGTATACTATAATTTTGAGCTAATTAAGCACAGATTAATTAAAGACAACTACACCGGACAGCTAGGATTAATGCTTTATTTCTGTTAATTTAAGTTTATACCATGGTACGTAATTAGACACTTGGAATATCAAATGCATATTTGGTTGGGGGAAAACATCTAGAATATCCAACTAGGAAATTTTTAAAAGGCATGGAAGAGGGCACTAGATAAATTTAAAACTTAAAATTGAAGTTGAAGACATATCTATATATATAGTGGGAGTAGTTTGTACAATTGTATTCCATTTAGAAGATTTAAGAAGAAGCTTGAATATTTGGTGCATGGAAAAAGACAAAGTAAAGAATTCTCGAATCTCAAAATTAAATGTGCAAGAAAATGGAATAATATTATGTTTACTTTCCCTACATTGCTTTATCGTATTCTATCTTTATGAGTTCATGACGGAAAAAGAAGATGCACAGCATAAACACTCCATATGGGATGTTTGTTTTTTTATTATTATTCTTTACCAAATCAAATATTCCTATTTTATATTACAAATAAGCAAATTCAAAAGAATTTGGAGGTTCTAAGTTCCAAAAGTAAAATGGAATATATTGATCACTAATCACGTATGAGTAAAAAGTTAAACGAATTTTACCTGACCAACTAATGGATGCATTCTTTCTCCTAACCATGATTCTTAAGATATAAACTTCATTAAACTACTTTCATAGTAATTACTACCTGATATAACTTGACTTGAACACTCAATAGGGAGAAGTATTATTTACTACATATTGTAGCAAGCGATCTATGTAGGGTAAAATTCTGACTTTAGTAGTATGTCGTACTGAATAAATGATGACTCGTGAAGATTGAAGATATAACAAACATAACGCAATAAAGGTGATATCGACTTTGACATATGTGTTTGTCATGCGTCATCATACACGTTCTTAGAGTGTTCGGGTTTGTCAGGGGCAGATCTAGGAAGGCCTAAAGAGTGTTACATGACACGGCTTCATTGGACAATTTTTTTTTAATATATATTTGATCTCTTTTTTAATTAGTACATATAACATAATTATAAGAAAATCGAAAAAAAAATGAAAAACCAAAAGAACCGACTAAACTTAAAATTTAAAAAATCGATTTTATATAGATTTAATAAGCCGACATAATTAAATTAATCATTTTTTAATAAAAAACCAAATCAAGCCGATCTATATACACCACAAACGTCCTCTATTTGTTTTCCGAAAGATGAAGCATGATGGAAGTGGTATACTATTTTCATTTGGGAGGTTGATATACCGTGAGTTTACGGTATTTCTAATACATTTCACTTACAAGTTGTGTGTGTCAAGGGCCTTTTTATATTGGTTTTTATGTGTTTTTATCATGTTTTGCATGAAAGGTGTTCAGGCGCGAAAGTATAGAGATAACTGAAAGAAATGCAGAAACAGGGCATTCACGGAGGTGATCTACGGACCGTAGGTCCATTCACGGTCTGTAGGTGATGACCGTAGATCAGCAAGCATGGTATTGAGGACAAATCAGGGAAATCAGACCAAGTGTGGAACCACGGTGTCCATTGACGGTCCGTAGATTTATCTACGGACCGTACTGTTGATCCGTAGAATGATACTGGAGGGTTCCAGTACCTAATTTTTGAAGATTCTAAGTATGGAGCTACGGAGGGGATTGACGGACCGTAGATCGATCTACGGTCCGTACTGTTAGTCCGTCGTTTGCTTCAGAGAAGCTGATTTTTTGGAAGCAGAAATATTTTATAAGTCCTGGCTGACGGAAGGGACTTACGGACCGTAGATCCATCGACGGTCCGTAAGTCAGTCTCGTGGATTGAAGACGCGTACCTGAACAAACTTTCCTTAATTTGTTTCCCTTTTAATTTAGGATTTGTTTTCTATAAATAAGACATGTAAACCTCGTTTTTGGGGGTTAGACATTATTATTCTATTTTTACTTTGTGACTTTGGAGATTAAGTTGCAACCCTAGCAATTATTGATTTCCTACATTCGTTTTGAAGGTTTTGGCTTTGCAATTCAAGTTGAAATTCCGGGTTTATTATTCTCGTTACGTAAGTTCATGATTTATTCATCTAATATTATGAATTGTGTTCTTGCTAGTATGGGTAACTAAATCCACAACTAGGGTTGTGGGAACCATGAACGATTAACAAAGTATGAATAGTAAATAAGTAATTCTTGAATAGTGTTTTGCATACATTGATAATTCTTTCGTTTAAAAGTCTTTTTAATGAGTGCACGCATTAGAACTCGCCTTGTTGCTACTTGCCGGATCAAGGAGGTAATCAACAAGAAAATAATTATCAACATAGATTTAGTGTGATACTATCTAATAGGCTAGTGTCGATTGGTGCGAAGTAATAACTAAGTCAAACATCGATTATAATGTCTAATATGAGGTAAAGGTAAGGGTTAGTAAATTATACACACGTAGCCTGATCAAGGTGAGGGGTGAAATTCTCTAGATGCCGGATCAAGGATTTAGAGATACCTAACTTATCACTTTGCATGTAACACACTAGGAAAGGATTGCGCTTACTAGGTTTACTGAGTTATGAGCTTGTGGGGAACACGTTTACCCTAGTTAATTTTCTCATCTTAATAACAACCGAAATTGACTTTTGATTATTGATTACTTATTGAATTCTTACAATTTGTTTCACAAATCCCCCCCCCCCCCCCCCTTTTTATTTCTTGTTTCCGGAAGTATTTTGGCTAATTGAATATAATTGTTGGTTAAAGTAAAGTCTAAACCATTTTCCTCGTGGGATCGACCCCAACCTACAAGTTGGGTTCTTTACTTGATAACGATCGCTTATACTTTTTTAGGGAGGTGTAATTTGAGCGTATCAGTATCTGCGATGCCATGTTTGATATATATAATTTAAATCTAAATCTTTTTTTGGTTGTAATTGGATTGATTGAAGTAGAATGTCTAGTTGGATGAAATTAGTCGAAAATGTATCCCCTCATTGACCAAAAGTTAAACTAGAAGTATAAACTTTATATAAAGTGGTCCTTGGGAATTTGGGATCAAAAGCTGGAATATAAGTAAACGAAAAGGAATGTTGACTTTCTGATAATGTTTGGACCATGAGTGACAATATGGGTGCCATTATATATCAGCTCCATTCTTGTTCCTTGCCACAAGTACACTTCAAGTATCCAATGGAATGCCACTATACACCAAATTATTTCTTCCTACTTCTTTCTTTATTCATTTCGTTTTGCCAATTATTTATTTCCAATCATAAATCCTACACTCACATGGGCTGCGCAAACAAACAATATCTCAAAATTAAATAAATAAATAAATAAATTATATCTCAATTCTTAATCAGATATCTCAACTTTAAAATTAAAAAAAATCTTGATAGAAAGCACTTCTTCTTTTAATGGGTCTTACACCAAGAGAGAGAATCTGTATTAATCTAGTCCTAAAATTAGTATCTTACATAAAAAGATAAAAGAAATTCTTCTACTTGCTCTTACTCTATTTCTATGCCAATAGAAATACAATCTTTCTAACTCCATAATATTTATTTGGTAGTATTAATAGAAAATGGTACGTAGAGCTATAAATAAAACAGAATGACACCTGGAAATCATGATCAAAACGAATCCAAAATCTTTGTTAAGAATTACTTAATTTAGTGAAGATATAAGCACCAACTCCACTATTTCATTGTCAATTATCATAATGTACGATATCAACATGTGTAAGCCATAGGTTTAATCGCATGTAGTCCTATTGTCTTTACTATGTTTAAAAATTCCATTAATATCTAATTGGTTCGCAACTTTTTAGAAATAATTGGAATTAGACTGAACCATGATCCTTTGGTTAGAGGAATATCTAGTTCAGACAACTCATATTCCATACTAGTTTTGTATTTGGTAATATGTGTTTACATGAACTCGATAAATTTTATCAAATTTTATATATAATTCTGTTTCAATTTGTTTCTCCTAATTTCTTTGTAGTTCGTTTTAAAAGAATGTCTTCTTCTTTTTTTGCAGCTCTTTGATTCTAATTTTCCACATAATATATTTAAGAACATTAAAAATAAAAAAACATTTAATATATTCTACGTATTTTTAATTTAAGACTGGCAACAAAATTCATATAAAAAAAACAAATTACTTTCTTAGAGTATATTATTAAAAAGCTCACTAAATATTTGACGGTAAAACTAATTATATTATTTAAAATTGCTATAGAAACATGTTACTTCCAATTGTGAATTCGCCTCGGATACTAATAATATTTTGTACCAACTAAATATCGATAATTTTAAGTTCCTGGTAATAATTTAGTAGCCTGTCAATTCATTGTTGACCTTTTTCCTTTTTAAAATTTCAAGACAAGCATCTTTCAACTTACCATAATTTGAGATATGTTCAAATGATTGCATGAATAATATGGCTATAAATAGAGGAGTCATTTGCACAAAGAAGAAACCAAGAAGTGGAAGCTCAAAAGTTGGTCACTAGACTCACTACTCATCAGTACTGAGCTTACACTAATTGTTACTTGAAGAGTCATGGCTATTTCTAGTCGTTCTTTGTGTGTGGCTCTTCTTGTACTATGCATTGTTATGGCGTGTATGGAGGAGGGACACGGGGAGGATGGAGATGATTATTGCAACTATGGTGGATGGCATGTTTTTATAATCGTGTAGGAGGAGGAGGTGGTGGGGGGGATGGAACTAGTGGTTCTGGTCATGGGGAAGGATTTGGAGCTGGAGCTGGAGTTGGTACAGAAGGTGGTGGAGGGTCTGGTGGGGGAGGTGGTACTGGCGTAGATGGAGGGTATGGTCATGGTAGTGGTTTTGGAGCAGGTGTAGGTTTTGGAACTTTTGGTGGACGTAAAGGTGGTGGTGGTTTTGCAGGGGGAGGTGGAGGAGGTGGTGGCGGTGGTGGTGGTGAGGGTGGTTCTGCTGGAGGATCAGGTCATGGTAGCGGCTTTGGAGCTGGAGTTGGTGGGGCGGGTGGAGGTGGTGGAGGAGGAGGAGGAGGTGGTGGTGGTGGTGGAACCAACGGTGGATATGGTCATGGAAGTGGTTTCGGGATGGGTGTAGGTTTTGGTGGAAATGGTGGTGGTGGTGGTGGTGGTGGTGGAGGAGGGGGAGGTGGAGGCAGCAATGGCACGGGTGGAGGTTCTGGCCATGGTAGTGGTTCTGGAGCAGGTGGTGGTGGTGGAGGAGGAGGTAGAAATACGAATGATGAGAATGGTGGTGGTTCTGGTTATGGTGAAGGAGAAGGCAGTGGATATGGTGGCAATTATAGTAATGATAATGGTGGCATTGGAATGGGATTTGGTATTGGTATGGGATTTGGCTTTGGAATGGGAACAGGTACAGTAAGTGGAAATTCTAGTACAATTGATGAAGCTAGCAAGAATGGTGACAAACAGCCCTAAAGTCTCTCACTGCCAACTTTGCTCAAAAGCTAAATTGTCAACCAATCATTTGCCATGCAAATTGTATTTGTTTTTTATTTCCTGCTCTACTATTTTTAAAGACAATAATTCGGATAAGGTCACTGAAAAAGAGATATTCACGAGTGACAATTACAACTGCATTGTACAATGAGCAAAAGTTATATATATATATATATATATTTGTATTCTTTCTTTGCATTTTCATTTCAATTAAAGTTACTTTTACCATTTTTCTTCTTTAGTTTTTCCTATTTTGGTTGTATGATGAACCAAAGTAGTTAGAGAGTACTTGATTTAATTTTTTATGACAGGTGATTTCAAGGAGTTTTGCCCTGTTGAATAGCCTATTGATCAACATCAAAATTCACATATATGGTTTTTGATCTTATATATATGCTCTGTCACTGAAAGTACAGCAATATGTTCAGCAAAAGCTCACGGTGAGCAGTGTTCAAAGCAGCACAGACTAGCTTCACTCAATATATCCTTTTTATATTCTTTGCTCTCTGAAGATTTAGTGGAAGTTTGCATGTCGAACATACATTGATGTAGCAGAATATTAATGTTTAACAGAGAATGGACAAAGGAAAGAAATGTGTACATATCTTGTTGAACTATGTTTCATATTTGTGAAGTCCAAATTCTGGATCTACTGCTTCATCCTCTAGGCCACTGTGGACTCACAACCTAAAAAAGATTTAAGGAGAAAATAAACTCGGTGAATAAGAAAGAACATGTTACCAACAAAAAACCAACAACACCAAGTTTTGTTTTTTTTGGCCTACTGAAAACCATAAATTTTGAAACCAAAAGTTCCTTGTATGTAGTAAAAATTATCTATAGTTTCTTTGTTAACATACCTTTTACGAACATCTTATAGAAGGATATATCCAGGAATAATCACCATCTGTAGATTAGTAGTCCAACAGTTGAGATATCATTTACATCCTCATTAGACTTCCTCTGATGTTGAAGGAATTAGTTTCTTATGCAAATACTAATTGTCATTATTATAACTAGTATTTTTTTTAACAACCGTGGTATCCAGATCAGCTTCCGTGCACTTTGACTAATTCTACATGGTAATTGCTACCTCTCAACAACACAAGTACCGGATAACTCTACCCACCAAGGATGGATGCATAATTATCTTTAAGTTAATAAGTAAAGTAATTATCAAATCATAAAACAAGAGATGATCTTTATAGTGTCCTGGTTTAGTTTTGCTTTGAGGCAAAAACCAGATTTGAACCATGAACACTAGGAGACACAGTTGTGCCATGCTTTAGAGTTTAAACATAGTGGATTTTGAGTTGAGATCTGATTCTATCTACATTTGTTTATGCATGCCTAACCACTGAGCCCTATCAGACCAGAAAATCGAATTATGAACCTGGCATTACATATTTCTGCTAATGTTGTTCTGGAAAGAGTATTAGAAGTAGAAAACTGTCGATTGAACTCACCTCTAGAGTGGTAAAAACTAATCTCATCCGGCTAGCAACAACTGATGGCTCTTCAGCATGACCAGCAACTGCCATCTGCTCTAGTTGGAGAGTTTTCACTGGGAGCCTTCAGGAGCAGACCAGAGAATGTTAATACACAAATCAATACTAAAAAATGAACTTCCAATAAATTCCTCAAAAGAAAAACGTTGATGACAGGTTTTCCTCTTAACGACAAAATATCTAATTGAGGATGGTATGCCCTCCGGCAACCTTACCATGCCATTCCTCTCACAAAGTATGCATTTGCTATGATTGCACAGAAGCCCTTCCACTGGACTATCATTTCATCAGAAACTGGGGATGTGGATGACCATCGAACTATAGTTGGTTGAGGTGTACATAGGATGGTGATGAATATAATGCTCAACCACATAATACACTCATCAACCTGCAACATAACCAGATGTCGTCATTAAATAGCTGTCATCACAGATCTTTAGTTGCCATGGTGATTCTCATGATTATAGCAAAACTTGCAACGGATACATGTAATCAACTGGTTTATAGATCTTATATCCTTTTTAAAATGAGGAAACTCGTACATCTGGAGAAAATTTTTAACACCTATCTAACCATTCTAGCAACAGATCATTATACAGTAGCATGGACAAAATTTAACAATTTATTAGCACCCTAGTTCTTTTGCAGACACCTTTTCTCATCCCAAAATTAAGGAGGAATCCCTGAAAGACACTGCCAATGTTTTCAGAATGAAAGTCGATATCAAGAGTTCCTAAAGAAACTTCTCGACACAACAAATATTGTTTCTAATCAAAATCCTCAACTCCTGATAAACTAGTCTATCTGAAACCAAACAGCAGCAGAACATTTTATTTCAACGTATGCTAGTGTTACACTGTTACTACTTTAAGAAAAGAGGCAGTCTAGCGAGAATCTTTGAGATACTCCACCTTGGTGCCAGTCAGTGGGAAGAAAGTCAATGATTTGGCAACTTAACGGTAAACAAATGGCGAAAAATCTTCATTCAACTTCCTCAGTATTATATAATGGACTATGTACATACTGTATAATCCTAGATACAGAAAGAGTAGCATCCACAGGGTTCCACAAAGCTGCCAATCATATTCAATTATTTTGTATCCATACATATCCCTGATTGTGCAATGCGAAAGTGACTCACCTCCACAGATAAAATCTTGGATTTCAGGCTGGTACTTCCTCCATATGTTTCCATGGCTTCAATTTCAACACCTGATTCCTTTAAAGAAAACAGTTCTTTCCTCAATCCTTCATCAGTACATCCCAAAGCATATGCATTCACACCAGCACTGATGAATTCCTGAAAGATCAGAATCATAACAATGCACAAAGAGAGCAACAAACAGAAGTTACAGAGAAAGGAAGAAACAACTGAGAATACTTTTAAGTTGTCACCTCCTCCGCGCTCAAGAAAATTCTTGTATCGCCTGAACAGACTGATGGCTATATTTCGGGAGGAGCGATACTCATTTTCAGGTGAAGTAGTATCTTGTGACCGGCACTGAAGAAACCATGAAACAAGAGCTACATAAGGATATGTTAAATGTCAAGAGAGATAAAATGTTCGAATAAGCGCTTACCAGCAATCTATATGAAGCGGATTGCTGAGAGAGTTTATAAGTTTTCAGTTGACTTGGCCAAGTCCAAGAAAAAGAACAACTGCTGACTCCTTTAGCAGGAGAACTCACAAGGGTAGCAGAACTAAGATTACTAATCAAGGGATTGACATTTTTACTCTTGCAAGGAATGACTTCATGCAGCACACTAGTATCCAGAAATGACTGACAGCTGCTAATGGCATGTGGATTTTGAAGCCCTAACATTGTTGAACCATGATACACTCACCTTGAAGCAACAACAAAAGATAAAAGAAAAAAATTCAGAATAGTTTAGTGTTGCCAAGGATGCCTATCTAGTTTCTAAGATCTTTAAAAACCACTCTATGTTTCCTTGAGTAAGTGAAACAGGGAAACCAAAACGAATTCAAATGTTATCCCTTTCGTGACTTCAATTTTATCTGTTTCTTCTCGACAATACAACATTAAATGACTTGACTTTCACACCCATATTTCTCCCAAATCAAAACCTTAACACTATTGATTAGTAACTAAAAATGCACAATCTATGCAAATTGACGCTATGAACTAGTTCATTTACATTATGATCATATCTATTACTATCTGCTTTTAGCTTTGATGGATAATCCAACAAGAAGGGTTCTGTCTACTCGTCTACAACTCTACACACAACAACAGAAAGGTACCAGCATGAACTACTACAACAACTACACCTTAAGCTTAAACTAAGTTGGCATCCACTATAAGGATTCTCGCAATTCATTCTAACACTGAAAAATTGTTAGTCCAAGAATGAAGTTGCGGGTTATGCGAAACTTATGAAGTAATAGCAAATTTAAGATATTGATTAATACTACAAACTTAAAAGACCACACCAACAAAGAACTTGAAGGGGAAGATGAGACACAGTTCGCAAACTAGGTTTCCAAAATTAAGATTCAATCAATCCCAACTTTCAAATATATCAGCGATTTCATCCTCACAGGAAGAGATATGTTACGAGGAAGATGAGAATTCAGTTTAACAGCAACTGAAATAGAAAGAAAAATGAAGAAAATTACTTGGATTTTGTGAAGATATAAGCTGTTGGAACCATGAATGGTTCTAAGTTTTCTTCATCTGAATTCCTTTTATTTTCCACCAGAAATTCCAATTGCTTCTTAGTGGCTGGCTGCTGATTATTTTTTTTATGTTGACCTTTCTTTGTCGCTACACCTGATTTTCATTTTGTACCTTTTTGCTAGGTAAATTTAATTTCCAAAAGACTAATTATTAGTTATATATAGACCAATTAATTCTCGATACTAAATTAGAAATACAGACCAATTTGAGAAAGAGTGACTATGACTATTGAGATTGTTTCTGTCCAAAATTTCTGCATGAATTTGTCAGCCTGAAATCATAGATATTTGAGGGGCCACTTTGGCAAAAACCCCACCACCACCACACATTTCCCAAAACCAACGAGCACCTTCTCAAGAGAAACACTAATTTGAAGATGAGTTATACGGCTATTAAATGTTGTGCTTAATTAATATTGTATTTGTTAGTTAATTAGAAGGTAAATTATTCATATATTATATTAATATGGTGTTTGATTTGCGATTTAAAAATTTGTATAGCTAATACATTTATAAGTTATTAAGCAATGTAATTTATGTATGATAAAACACGAAATAATTAATACTATATAAATAACTAAGCCCTACATAACTAAAACTACATGAAAGCAATGCATAAATTTACTCATAATTAATACATTTATAAGTTATTAAGCAATGTAATTTATGTATGATAAAACACGAAATAATTAATACTATATAAATAACTAAGCCCTACATAACTAAAACTACATGAAAGCAATGCATAAATTTACTCATAATTAATATTTGCATTACTCATATTTGTGTAAGTCTAACCAATAATTCTTACACTTCACGAGTGTTTATATCAAATCAGTAAATGCATGACATGCATCTGTATTTGATAAGTGTTACAAGTGTTTCATCCTTTTAAAACCAGACAATAAGTCTCTACGATATACATCATATCATACATTTATTGATTTGATGTAAATGCGAATAACTTTTTAACCAATAGATATGTCATCAAAATTTAGCTCAAAAAGACGTTACTAAAAAAATAATACACACTAAAAATCAACTTCAGAAACTCATAATCTTTGATACAATATGATACAAACACATGAACATTAACGCTCTTCACTTAAGACCAGAGAGAGAACTAATTATGGCTCCCACCCCAAATAGCATGGTGTGAGGAGGATAATTTATTTAAACTTGAACAAACCCTCCTCAATTATTCTGCACACTAACAACATGGCTTAAAAACTAAGCAATACATGTGTAATTGGAAGGACAGCTAGCTTCCTTAATGTTCAAACTTGGCACCGTTCTGGGAGAGATTCTTACGCTTAGCTGCAAATGTCTCAGCTACTAATATGGGAAATGCAATTGTTGCATCACAATGCACCTGCATTCAACAAATCGAAAACAGTAGAAGAAATTAGAATCTCACATCCTTTGAAACCTATAATAGTCTGATACATATATTAGAGGTTACCTTTGCGCTCTTGGCACCAACACGTATCTTTCCCCATGATACAGCTTCATCAGGACGAGCACCAGAGTCACTACCATCATACTCTTGTGCAGTGTTAATTAAGACAGCAAAATCTGCACCATTGCGCATCATATTCGCATTGCAGATATGGTGCTTAGGCAGCCCTCCACCCAGGATAATCATTCCGGTCTTCCTCAAACCAGCATGGACAGCTTCATTATCCATGGCCCTGACATCTGGTTATATATACAACTTAATTCTTTAGTCAAATAATATGTATCTTGATGAGAGAATTAAAACTTGATCGATAAGATAGTGATACCTCCAACAATGTCTAAGACTAGACCAGGATTACGGTTTTGATCTCCCTTTTGGTAAGAATGAAAGTATAGCATGTCACCTATTGATCCATCCGTCAAGCTAGGACAGAAGACAGGAATCTCGTTCTGAGAATGATAACTACACATTAGTTTATAATAAACTCAAAGAAAATGCATGTTTTTCCTTTTATTTTCTGGAATCAAATTAAATAAGCACTAAACTATTCTTTTTAGAAATTTACCTTGTAAGCCCAATACAAGTATGAGGTTTCATTATTAATTTCTTTACCAAGGCGAGCAATGACTTTAGATGGTGTCCAAAGAACGTTCTGTAATATATAGAAAAAGAAGCTAAAAAGGTCAAATCATCACAAACAGAAACGCAATTAATTAATGACCCAAGAGTAGAGTAGATATATACCTCATTACTCTGCTCGTCATACATTTGGTCAAAAATTGGCATGATCCAGTCCTCAAATTTGCAGTAGTTGTCATTTGGAACCAATAAATTACCAATACGGTTCAATGCTTTGGATCGTAGAACAGCTCCAGGTAAAGCAAAGTCCCCCTTGTAAGTTGGTGCGAGGCATTTTATGAGATCCTCTTCAATACCACCAGCAGTAGTAACCAAAACATCAACCTGTAGGGAGGGATGGAATTGAACACAAGGTTCAAACTTGACGGTACAACACATGCAGTAAAGACATAAACTAGTGAAAATGCTACTGACCATACGGTGCTGAACAAGGTAGCGGATGGTTTCTCTAACACCAGAAGAAACAAGGTTTGAAGTGAACCCCAAAAATATTTTGCACGTTACCGACTCTCTGTATGCAACATTTCTTTCTTTTTCGCTGCAATCGTCTGTGGGCACCTCATGGGAAAGCCTCCAATTAAGCTTCAAAAACATAAATTTCAAACTTCAGGAATCAATTACTTTAAAACTATTTTATCTCAAGTTAAAAGAAATCTAACCATTTGATTAACAATGTCGATGGCGTCACCAAGATTAGAAGCTTGGAAACCAGTGGAAACCATGGATTTGATAAGCTCAAAATAGTTAACGCCTTTATTAAAGTCGTAACCCACAATTTTAGTGCAAGAACCTTCTAGATCTTCCGAAGATTCTTTCAGAACTGCCGATCTTACCGATTCCATCATGTTGGCGTTCATTATTGCTAGATTATGCAAATGAGTTTCTAAGGTTCACTAGGAGTTTTATTTTATGTTATAAATCGAAATCCAAATGGGGAGTTTAAATATGAGTACAAAATAGCAGGCACTACACAGCATTATAAATTACAACTAGATTGCCCAAATAAAAAAAATGGCCATGACAACTACGTTTCCATAAAAAAAATATATATATAGTTTTCAAATCAACTCCAAGATTTCAATCGTACAATCACCCATTATATTTTGTTTTGTCCATATCTTTTTTGATTTTTGCTGTCTTCATACTTCTCTATTCTACTCTATCCGGCTCATATTAATTGATTATTTTACTAAAAAATAATAGTGTTCTCTAAGTCAAGTTTTCAATCTTCCTATTATGGATTCTAATTGTATCAACACATTGGTAAGCGTAAAAAAAATATTGAATAGTTAAAATGTGAACCCATTTATTGATCCACTTCAAAAGTCTATCAAAAAAAGTACTTTCTCTCCTCTATTCCTAATTACTTGTTCACTTTTCCTTCTATAGTTGTTCCTAATTACTTGTCCATTTTGACAAATCAAAAAAGGATAATTTTTTTTTTACCTATTATACCCTCAATTAAATAACTAATTACTTTGAAGAATGTAGAACTTTTCATCCACTTCATAATTAATAGGTGTAAAATGATAAACTCACTATGTCATTAATTGATTTCTGAATAGGTGTGTCAATTCAAAAGTGGACAAGTAATTAAGGACAGAGGGAGAGGGAGTATAAGTTGTAAAATTATTGTCAAGAATATTGAAGATCATGCATTTTTTAGAAAACTGGATGAATTCGTGCAATGAATCTTTTCTTTCCAATTCATATGGGTTAGTACAGTTTGACACAAAATTTAAGAAAAAAAAAAGATTTTTAAAATTTGTGATCTAAGAAAGCCTATAACCATTCGTTATTGCAAGAATATGCAAACGAGTTTCTGCCGTTGACGTTTCTACACACGAGGAGTTTATGTATAAATCAAAATCTGAATCAAAATTAAAATCAAAATGAGGCGGTTAGTATTGCACAATGTTAGGCAGTATTAGGGGCATCAAATTAAATGAGTGGATTGGATTGAAATAGAAATTTTGTTTGAGTCTTGATTCGTCTAAGTTTATTTTGGGCTCAAATAGTCTAAAAATTGGGTTGGGTCATGATCGGTTTAATATCAAGAATTTTAACATATTGCTATTTAACTTT